GGGGCGGGCGGTGGGGGGAGAAGAGGAGAGGCCCCTTCCCGCGCTCCCTCACATCGTCGGAGCAGCTGCTCTGTGTGTGTGTTTGTGTGTGTTTGTGTGCGCGCGCGCACGTGGGGGAGCGGATGGAAGGCACGCATTTCGAGGTGCGGTGGCCGCAAGTTGGTGCTGCTTGCCGTATCTGTGCATCAGCATGTGTGTGTGTGTGTGTGTGAGAGAGAGAGAGAGATTGGGCAGACGCCGCGATTTCATGGCCATCGCGGATCAAAGTTACTCCTTCCCCTTGCGCTTGGCTGCGGGTGGCGAATTCCGGTACGGCGTTTGGCGTTGCAATGCAAAGGAAAAGGAGTCCTCCTTTGGCACCTGCAGGACTAACGGACTTAGGATGGCAAAAGCTTCGGTCGACCAAAGCGCCCCTTCGCTAGGTGCGGGCTTTCCTGCCTGCGAGACACGAATTCGGCTGCAGTCCAGAAAATCTGCTTCCACAGCGCCTCTGTTACTATTCAGGTGTCCGGGGGTCCCTTTGGGCCGTCAGGATCCTTGCCCGCCCGGACTTCTTCTCTTTCCAAGATTAATTCCGTTTCCCTCTCAGAAGGAAAGGTTTTCTTCCCGTTTTGAAGAAGAAATGGTCTTAGGCGGGATCAGAATTGGAGGTGCTCTGTTACTAGCACCCAGATCTAGCCTCATAGAAGGAAAGCGTTTTCTAAAATGTAGGTGAGATTTAGATTGATCTGCACCGTAGTAAGAATCAACACCCTTTAGTTCATCATGTCTCTCCAGTGAAATGGATACCAAAGAATATTCTAGTCTGTAAATGGCTCCTCTAACTATACAACCCATTAATATTTATAAAATCTAGGGATTCAGACTATTTTCTTTGACAGTTCCACCTTTGTTTTGAGAGTGATCATCATTTTCAGAGCTGGGAAACTATTGGTGTGGTTGAAAATTCAGATGCATTCCTTTCCTGACTGTCAGTTTTCTTCTCATTAGTGTCCACAAGTTGAAGGTGTTTGGAAATGACATATAAATAATATGTAAAAATTCTGTAACAGGATCTCATTACCTATGTTTCACCAGTCCCGGGGACAAAAACTAGTGCAGTATCTTGAATCTACTAGAAAGTAAATTTCACTTTGAAGTCATTGTGTAACTAAATGTGTACCTGTGCTTAGAGTTAAATTGTAAAACTGTTAAGCTGCAGTTTTAGAGGATTTACCTGAAAGTAAATTCTATTCAGGTTATTAGATCTTTGGTGAATCATAGTGCCAGCTTGCTCGTCTGTTAATTCTACACCCCTCTTTTCTTCATTGATAAACATGCTGCCTCCAGAAGGATGATTATACATGAAACATACCATTAAAATCATTATTCAATAAAATAACAGTGTTACATAATTAGCTTCTATGAAACAAAAAAATCAGTCACTGATGCTGAATAATGGCTGGATTAGTTTGTCTTTATCATATTCTAATGCCTTTTTAGTCCTTATAAAGAGCTCCTTCCTGAGCTCCTCAGGAAAGGAGGTTTATAAATCTAACAAATAAACTGCAGACTTTTATAATTGTATTCATTTATTAAATTTATATCTCACACTTCAGGAGTGTAAGCATTGTACGTAAGTGTTATTGTTTTCCCATCATTTTTTAAATCACAGTTCTCTATAGAGAACTATAGTAAATAATATCAACTTCATCTATACAGTGTATGTTGCCCAATGCTTTCTTTATGAATAAAGTTGAAAATGCATAATAATAAAAATAGTTCTTTTTATTTAAAAAAAGCTTTTATGGCGGGAAGTGGCATGATCAGTCATGTGGCCTAGGAGCGCCATATACCCTTCAGCCAGCACTGACTATATCTTTTCAATATGTTAACAGCTTGTATCAGTGGAAGAATATATCAATTTAAATATTTTAAAATTTATTTTTTTAAAAAAGAAAGAGGCAATGGCATATATTTGCATAAAGGATTGTGTTGTTTTGAAATGCATGTGTTTAAAGAAAATGGTCTTATAACAGTCAAAATCAAGTCAAGTCTCTTTCAAATCAAGCTTGACCCCTAATGACCATTCCAGGTAATTTTTTAATAGCTGTATGGAAGGGATTTGCCAGTGCCTTCTTCTGAGATGTTGTTTTCAACTTCCCAGTTTAGTGTTCTGCACTAATGTTTTTTGAAGGTTCCCAATCCAAGTAGCCACCCAGAGTTGTTGGGATTTGGGAAGAATACACATTTAATAAATAAATAAATAAGATGTATACAGTTTTGAAACTTGGTGAGGGCTGGGCACAATGAAGAATTTAATCTTCAAATCTCTGTTGAGTTGATCGAATTCAGAACTTATGAGAAATTAATTATGAGAAAGTTATGAGATCAAAAATATATCCAACAAAGGATAGTAGTTTGGCTTTTTCATTATTCAAAAGGTAAAGTATACAGTTTAGATTCAGTGCTATGTGTTGGTTCAACATAGATTATAACTCCTAGGTCATAAACTCTTCAATGGCTGGAAAGAATATTTTCTTAAGATCAGAAGAAATAAACCTTAATGAGCACTGAACACTGTAATGTCAATGTGATCAAAACCCTTTCTGTAGTCAATGAAGAATGTATCTCTTGTTCCCTGGCCTTTTCTAAAACCAGCTTGAACATCTAAAACTCGTTGGAACATTTCCTTTTCTACGTAAGGTGCTTAACTCTGTTGCATGAGTCTAAACATTATTTTGCTAGGATGTGAAATTGAGGGCATTGTGTGGTAACTTGCACACTCTTCTTTCCTTTCTTTGGTATTGGCAGGTGGACTGCTTCCATTCTATCATTCTCCAGATTTTCTGGCATACTTTGGCATTTCTGAATATTCTGTGTTATTCATTCATTCATTCATTCATTTATTCATTCAACTTATATCCTCTGCAATCACAGGACTTTGAAGGCCCACAAAGTAAGAATGTACAATGGAGTATAAATGATAGACATAAAACAAAAACCAACACAGTAGATGGCAAAACCCTGCCAGAAAAGCTTTGTTTTCATATGAAGAATATGCTACCAATAAACTGGTTCTAACACTGCACTTTAATCACTGTTCACAGAGAGTTGATAGAATAAGTAACCCCCATTGCTCTCTGTTTTGTTTTGTTTTTTTTCCATCTTAACAACTGGAGATAGATAGATAGATAGATGGATGGATGGATGGATGGATGGATGGATGGATGGATGGATGGATGGATGATTGATAGATTTGGCACTTAATTTATAGCTCTATTATAAAACTTGCATACAATTTCTTAAGAAAAAGAAGATGGCTAATATTGAAAACCAATGTATAAAATCATTACTTGTAGAACGCATATGATTTCCTCTCCATAATTATTGCCAAGCATAAAAATAGTGAACAAATACACTAATATTGATTTTCTTTTTTTTATGGCTGTTTGACAAAAAGATTTAAATTTGTGCAAGCCAAATATTATCTATTTATATTTTAATATTGAAAGGAATGCTTTGGCAGGACGTAACATGTTCCAATATTTGCTTTTATTAATATGGTTTTATCTATAGGCTACTATTTCTGTACCACATCATTATTATCATCATCATTACTGGAGATGCACATGTTGGGCTGTATAAATTATTCAACGAAGTTAGTCTGCTTTGCCAGCTATCCTAGTGGAAAACTCTTTTGGATGGATATTTGTGTGTGTGTGTGTGTGTACATGTGATTTTGTATCTGTGTTTGTATGTGTATATGTATGTATATGCATGCCCAGAAGAGGATCTTGCAGCAGCCATGTCAAAAACTTCCACTAAAACAATTTGCACAGTCCTGTGGTCATGGGTTAACCATCATATACACTGAAATATATTGGTATTGTTATGTTCCATAGCCAATCAGGACTGGTTCTGTGCTGATGGCAAACAAAGTCTGATAAAGGTGATCCTAATGTTTACTTGAAGAGGAAAAACATTTTCAGTTTTTCACAACCATCACTAAAGTTACTGATAGAAGTTTATTTCCAAAGCCACAGAAAAGTCAGCAAGAAGCATTATGTTTTGACCTTGTTTTACTACTTGAATGTCAGCTGCAATTTTTTTAAGCTGATGCTATTGGATGTTTTCTGTTACTGGAAATGAAGAAAATTAATACACCATGTATGTTTGTATATATGTGCACACACACACACAAATATACACGCAGAGAGAACTATTTCAGGTATTTCACCCTCTAAAAAGGCCTTATCAACTAGGGTTCCACAAGAGAACATGATTGAAAAAGCATCTTTTTTTTAATTTTGCACACCACGCAATGCTAGCGCACACATTGTGGGAAGTTTTATGTGCAGCAGTTCAGCTGTTGGCCTGGTGCTTTGCTGTTTTTTGTAAACTTCATAAAACATAAATTGTGCAGGTTAGAAGTCAATTTTACTGTGAAGTTTTTGTATTTTTTGCGATTTTCTCATTTAGTTATTTATTATTCAAAAGAGCATTGATAATTATTATTGGAATATCATATCTATAACTTACTGATCCTGCTAACATCCTGTAGCTGTAGATACAATAATTTTTATGCAGGGGTTCCCTGAGATCAGAAAATTATTTCCAGGGTTCCTCCAGGGTTAAAATTTGAGAAAGTCTG